AAATTGAGAATTTTGTTAGGAATTTCTTAAATTTTTGGTAGCTTTTTGTGTTGTCATGAAATCCACACATTGGATTTAGAATTGTGGATTATGCTAGCTCAAACTATTGATTAGATATACATTATTATTGCTAATAGATGTGGTCTTTGTTTATTTAAACACTTTGAAAAGAAAGAGGCATGTTCTTATTCATCACTAATTAAGAGTCGTTGTTAGACACTGGTGATTGAAATATGTCCTTATCCATCACTAATTAAGAGTTGTTGTTGAACATAAAATAACAAAAAAACAATTGATCATCAAATGTGCCAAAACTCATTTCCAAAGTGTGAATTCCCGATTTCCAAACAAAGCATTAATTGCAAACATACTAAGGGGCTATTTTCAAAGGTCGTTACAGTCCACCACACGGAGGTTGCACACGCATTGCACCCGCCCATGAGGTGGCTACAATCCACCGCCTTAAAAGTCTTGACGTACCGTGAGCACAATTCTAACTAGGTCAAGCTCTGATACCATTTTGTCAAGACTGCACTGTTTTGTTCCGTAGCCTTAGCCCAAAACATGTATCATGGAGGGTATAAATCCTATATATATATATATATATATATATATATATATATATATATATATATATAGTACCATTTAAAAAATAATAATTCATATATATTACTTCTCCTTTCCATACCATACCCAGGCAATGTAAGATTGTGCATCCATAAACTGTTAGTGTTTTGCACCCGTCCACAAGGTCGCTATAATCACATGTATATTTGAAAGATACAAGTATATAGATATATTTGTTGGGAAACGTGCAAGTTTTAAAAACTTTTGAGGGATTTTAATTCATAGATCTTGATTCATCACATAGAAACAAGTTTTATGCAAAAATAAAAATATGATGTATCATTCAAGTAACAGATTGAATACTTACATCAAAGGTTTGAGTAAACCTTTAAATCTTTCCTCTAAAGTGAATGTTTTCACTTATTGTAAATCCCTTAGCAAGATGCATTCTCCTTGGATCTCCATCTTCTTAGTAATTGTTTTGCCTTTAGGAATCACTCATAAGCCTCCATGAATGACCTTGGAAAACTAGGCTTGTAAGAGCCTCCATTAGATGAGAACATAAACACTAATTTTCTAGAGAGAGAAAATATATTCCTTTTTCCTTCTACTAAAAATCACACCCAAAAATATACATAGACCATGTATATTTATAGGCAACATAAAGATAAAGAAAAGGAAACAACAAATCCTTCTCAATCTCTAATTCACATGTCTCAAATCTAATATGATTCCAATATCAAGTTGGGTTATGAGTGAGAATCCTTTGGGCTTATTATTTTATTGGCTATAATGAATTAATAATTGGCCCGGTCTATGGACCCAATTCAATTAATTCATAAATTAATTTTTACTCCACTAAAAGAAATTAATTGAATTCCAATTAAATAATAAATAACCTCTAAGTCAATATAGCACTTTGACCTTTCTATGCATAATTAGTTATCGGATAAATAAAGCCATCAATCCGACTACTTCATTAATATATTTATTTTGGTACCTTTGATTATTTCTGGCTCGATCATAATAAAACATTTGTTTGACAAAAATAATAATTTAAATAAATAAATATATAATAAATCATTTTGTCTAAAAACACACGAAGGCCTTCGAATTTACTTTGTGATCAACCATAATCAATACAAAATAAATACAAGTAGCAATGATGCAAATATTGAAATTATAACCCTCTAACTATTAATTACATAACTATCCAAAGTGTCGGTGTAAGGATCCCGAAGAATCCGCCGAACAAATCAAAGTAATTATTAATTAATAAAAGAGTCTATACTTTTCTCATGCTTAAGAGTCAAATGCCATGACGGTGATAGGGAGCAATTGCATACGACGGCTCTCGCAAAATATCTCAACTTAACGTGGATCCAGTTCAAGTCTTAACTAATTATGATTCCATCCATAATTACCTACTATGAACAATTTATGATTACTATTTATATTCATGTATTGATCGCCATCACATACATATATAAATATCTCTTATAATCAAGAGGATACTATCAATTCTATAATGAATCGAAACATAATACATTGAATTCATCAATTGTACAAAACATAAATATTTCAAAAACGTTAGGAACATGTGTCACTTTAATCCAAACAGGAATTTGCTATGTCAGGGCATATAAATCCCAACAATATTCTCTTCAATTTTCTTCAGTTTCACGTTTTCACTGACCTATTTGAATTAAATTTTTATGTTTTTCAATGTAGAGAATTGAACTTTGAAGAATTTGTGGCATATTCATGGTTGGGATTGTATACCTAGTACCCTGGAGCTCTATTGATTCCTCCCGCCATACCTTCAGGTGTTTCTGTAGTGTTACTGTTTGTCCTTGTGCCTTTTGTTTTTTCCTTGTTCTTCGGGTGTTTATTGTTAGGCATGGCCTATTTTTTGTGCATTTAATTTGGGCTGGGCTGGGCTGTTTCTTGTTTTTTGACCTTTATCTTTTTCTTTAGCAGGGTTATGCCCATTCATATCCTGTAAAATTTTATGCTTTTCTATACTTATAAAGATCTTCTGCTTCTACTCATAGTAATACAAGTGACAATAAGGCATAATTTTTCATCCTCTCCAATAAGCCATGTTGGCGTGGCAAGAGAGCAATGGTAAGAATAGTTGGATTGAAGGATAATTATGGGAAACTTTTATTGTACTTGTCAAAGAAATATGTGTCTATTCTTTGGATGGTGGGAAGTGAGAACCTCATCTCTACCTATAGTAATCCAAGACAAAAATGTAGCCGGAGCTAGTGGAATGGGGTGGAGGTACTGGAGCACGTGGACTGAATCGTGGTGTTGGACCTGGTGGCAAAATATTTATAATTGAAAAGGAGGTTCCATCATATTCATATATAGCGAAGTGCTACCCTTGGGTGCATTGGTAGCAATAACCAAATTAGTGATGTTTGCAAGTTCTTCGTGTGTTTAATAATGAAAAATAGTTTATTTCGGATTGTGATAGGATGGAATTTGCTTCATTGGTTACCTTTTAAGTTAAGTTGTACTTACATTTGAATAAAATTGGAGATTGCATAAGTTTTTTTATTTTTTTTAACCTTTAGGCCATATTTAGTGTGAGTGAATGGAATCAAATGAAGTGGGAATGGAATGCTTTTGTTTCCATTCTTTAGTTTGGTAAGTAACTTTAAAGTTAGAATGGTAATTCTTGTCCATTCTCAAAGAATGGTGATTCCCACTAATTCATTCCACTTTCCAACTAAATGAATAACCATTCCATTCCCACTTTAAAAAAAAATTAAATAAATAAATGAATAAAAAAAAAATTTAATGAAACGTCGGCTACACACATATATATATACATACATATATATGTGTGTGTGTATATTTTACAAAAATATGATATTTTTCTGTGCAACCAAGCATGGGAATGGGAATGAGAATGAGAATGGACATTCCATTCCCATTCCATTTTTTGATTCATTCTATTCTCACTTTATTTCATTCAGCCACACCAAACTGGCCATTAGTGATGTAAAGTGCATTTGAAAAGTTAATAAAATGAACTTTGCAAATAAATAGATAAATAAAATAAATAATAATAATTATTATTATAATAAATAATAAATAATATGAACTAAGGCAACCTTTTGGGTTATATGATATATGCACTTTTAAGTGACACTCATTTTGGCAGTTTTGAGTGCAGTTTGCATGTGCACTTCATGCCTCTTGACAACACACATTATATATCAGTTAGAAAATATGCACGCACAATTAAGTTGCATCCAAAAATAAATTAAAAAAATCATTACCTGATCAGTAAACAGTACCTAAGTTCCTAAATAGCTTTGCAAATGAACCAAGTTCTCATTTAAAGTTTAATTTGGACTCATTCATTAAACAAACAAGTTGAACTTAAGTTAAAATTGTAGACTTGTTTAGTAAATATATCGATCTTGGATAATATTGGGCTCAACTCGTACATAAACTCGTATATGCACGTTCATAAATACAACTTTCAATTCCAAATGTGCCAGCATAAATACACAAACAAACTCAATAAATCATCTCCATCCTCTTCTTTTCCCAAAGCTTTAACAAACTACAAAACCAGGAAGCCAACTTGTATGAAAAAGGCAACTCAACTATAAACTTGTATGGTTCACCGACGTAAGAATATGTTTTCATAAATATATATAGGCTCGTTTATGTTCATAAACAAGTCAAACGATCTTGAACATGAGTTTAAATTGAGTCCGGATGACTTTTGCTACCAAACAACTAGAACCCGGCCGAACGCAAATTTTTTAAAATAATGACGAGCTGGATTTAAACTCATTACAATCCCGAGCTGAGCCCACAATCAAATAAACTGAATCCAAATAGACTCAGACTCGTTGATATGCAATCCTTTTCCTATCTACATAACCAACAACATGGTTGCTGAAATATGGTGTCATATGAGTCAAGATTAATAATATATATATATATATATATATATATATATATATAGATTCATTCTAATTAGCTAACATCACCAAAAGAAAAATAATAAAATAACTAATAATAATATAAAATAGGTAAAAAATAAAATCCAATTGGTTCTGTTTATCACATTCTATGAGTTGAGTGTTTATTATACATGTATTAATTCAACTAAAAAAAAAAAGTATTTCATTATGCAATACCAGATTTCTTCGTTCTTTTTATTATTAAAACAATCAGAATATAATTGTAGTAATTCCATCTTTTTATGTTGTACTACAATTTTTTCGGTCACTGTAATTTCATAAAGCTCAGAAAAGGTCAGTGGTCTTTACCTTATTATTAGAACAATCAAGATTATTAACATTCTATTTACCCAAAAAAAAGATTATTAACATTCCTAGCTGGTGTGTGTCAACTATATATATATATATATATATATATTCATGTATAATTGTACCATAAAAGTTAAGCCCTGGGTCTCATAAACCAAACCAAACCGCCAGAAGCCGAGTTGAGAGAGTGAGAGGGGGATACAGTGTGAAGAGAAGATGGCGACCCAAGCCATGGATTGTGCTGTGAGAAGTCATCCATTATCAATTGGCTACGCTTCCAAATCTCCCAAATTTAGGGTTTCCACTGTCAGATGCTCCTCTGCTTCTCTCTACATGGACGGTGCTGCCCTTGGTAACACACCACCTCTTTCACTCTCTCTTATATAAGTGTGTATATATTATGCCTGTAAACGAACGTATGTATACATTTGTTAATTTTTATGAATGTGGGCTTATATTTGTGCAATAGTTTGATGGAATATTCATTTCTTCTCCATAATTTTTTTTCAGTAAAAATGCTTACTTATAATTCTACTTGGTTATTTTTCGTTCTTGTGTGTGTATTTATAGTTAAGATTTATGTAGATCAGATTAGGAATTTTTAATCTGTATATTATTGCTTGTGGATGAAAACTAAATTCATCTGCCACTGGAATCAGATTAATGGGAGTCACATTTCCTTGGCTCTATTGTATGTCTCAAGTTCACAAAACTTAGGTGACTTGGTCCAGCAGAGCATATTTCAGCTATATAGCCTTCTCTCCGTTCTTTTGGACAGTTGATAATAATTGATTATAATTAGGGTTTCTTGAAGAACTGAAATAGGGCCTCCACCCCAAATTAGCTTGGGCATGCTGTGCATGGAAATTGCATCCTTAATCATCAGCTTTATGCCACTCCCTTTCAGAGGAAACTAGTTTAGTTGTTCATTACTTCTTGGTTTTGTCTCTTTACTTTTCTTATAAGATATGGGTAGTGCAATGTTTGCTTCTCCTTGCAAATACATGTTCTTTTTTGCAATTTTTTGTTTTTAAACTTCTTGCTGTCAATTAATTCTCTAGAAATAGCAGTACTTGTTGATCTCCTTGGCGCTCTCTATATCTTTGAGTGCAATGCAAAATTTTCTGGATAATTCTTAGGCTTGGGAGAAAGACCTTGGAAGGTAGCAGATGCCAGACTTGTCCTGGAAGATGGTTCTATTTGGAGGGCGAAGTCATTTGGTGCTTCAGGAACCCAAATTGGTGAATTGGTTTTCAATACATCTTTAACGGGGTGAGATGATTTTAGTTTCTTTCATATGTGTAATTTGTGAACTTAAATTCTTCTCTTCATATCATAATGGTGTGCTCTAGTCTCATGTAACACCAAATAAAGGGCGGAGCTGGTATAATGCCATTCTCATTGTTTGAGTGTTTGATGCTCTGCTTATTTGATTACTTTGGATTCAAAATTGTCCATAGAGTATTCTTCCATTGACTTGCAGTGTTAATTGGAATCTTTAGACGAACTTGGCATATTTTGTTCTGAATATATAATTAATACATTGGGATCCCTCCAGAAAATTGCCTCTATAATCTAGCAGTCATTTGTGGTTATGTTTTGATCTGAAATAAGTTATGGTACCATCTGTGTGGCTAAGTCATGTATTGCACATAGATGGAGACATGAACATAATTAAAGTGAAAATTTTTGGCCTTATCGCAAGAAAATAGAACTTGTATCTCTGGGCATTAATGCATCATAAGCGATCAAATTATAAATGGAGTGGTTAAATATCTAGGATTACCATATAATTTTTTTTGCATATTGCATGCGTTCATTGCACATATTGACTAAAAAATAAAAGCCCTGTGTATTAAGTGCCAAAGCTGCTATTGAGGGCATGCAGATGCATGGGTCGTGTAAACAAGTGTTTGATTTGTTAATCATTTACAGAGAAGTGCCCACATGCATGATATTCAAAATATTATTATTTATTTTTTTGGTAAGAATACTTGTCAAAAAGAAAAAAATTGGTAAGAATAAATTTCAAATTATTTAGCGTCATTAACACTGGAACTAGTTAGTTGGCAACAATGGCAGGTAAGGGATAAGTCATGAGAACTCCATTAATGAATTTTACAAGGAAAATAAGGGAAGTTGAGATGGAGACAAATGCACTGTCATTTTTATTATTATCAAGTTACTGAAACCATAAAGTTTTAACTCCAACTATTTCATTCGGCTTCAGATCATTTTATGGTCGTCAAGATTTGAAATCCTATGTGATTGACTTTTGACATGATGATAATACATGAAGCCTCTATGATTGATGCCAAATACTAGATAGAGCCAGTTTATTGTAGGAGTTGGACTTACAATGAACCATGGCTGACCCATATCCAAGGTAGTTCTTGGAATGATACTTGGACCTTGAAAACAATAGGTTATCATTCACATGTATGATATATTTGGTTAATAGTGTATTAGTTATGGATTTAATGTCATAATTATATATAAAAAAATCGATTACATTTTGCTTTATATCATACTTGGTTAAAGAAATATTGTAAATATTGTAAATGAAATTCTGAACAGATGGTGCAGCAGGTCATTCATGAACACAGAAATGAAAGGAAAATCCTCAATGTCAACTATTTTTTCTGTTTCACAGATCGTAGTATGATCCATCAAGTTTTGAAATTGTTACATGACTGGCTCTTGACAGGACATTAACAATGTATTGTTGATGCCAAATTCTTGGGAAACTAGTTGGTGGCAGGAGATGGGCTTCTCAAGAACCTTGGCTCACACCTGTTACCATGTTGGGCGTAAGTGAACCTATGACATTAGAATGATTCTGGGACCATGAAAACTATTAAGGAATTATAAATATTTATAAGATATTGGTTAATGCCGTAATAAACAATTTACAAAATCACTTTGATGAGATATTTGAAATCGTGTTTTCATTTAGTAAAGCCCTTGCTAAACATGTGGAATGAGTTTAATTTTGGTTTCATTGAAAATTTTGAAGTGTTTCAAATGGAATTCGGAGTATAAGATTAGTAACATATGTGTGTGTATATGGTTATCAAAGTAACAACTAGGAAAGGTGATTATAGCCCTCTAGGAAGAGTTTGGAGAGGAGAAAATAAACTTTTTGAGACAATATCCAGGCATAAGATGTATACTATAAAATGTTGGATAGGTACATTTAAGAACAGCATGAGTGACAACAATTGACGAACATGGTTGTAGACAAATATGAGGAAGAATGACTTGGGAAATTCCCAGTGAAACTGAAGTGAACTAACTTAAATAATGTGTGTGCTTCTATTCTTTTTGTGAAGTTTACTCTATGAATAGGATGATCAATTGATAATCTACGGGGAAGTGAATACTAATTGTATCTAACCAACCACCTGCCCTATGCCGTAATTGGTTCACATTGGTTTTTGTCTGAAAACACCATAATTCTTTATGATTCTATGTTGTTCTCACTTGCTAGATATTAGTCCTTTTAGAAAATGAAATGAATATTGAAGAATATTGATCACTTATTTTATCATCACAGTAAAAATTATTTCCATGTCTCCCTTCAATATTCAGAAGGACACACTGAGCTTTTTAGTCGAGTTATACCAGGAGCTAGTTTCAAATATGATAAAATATTATATTTCTTTTAATTAGGGGAAGATGACTTAGAAAACATTTCCTTACGAATTCCTATATAATCTGTTCATTTTCAGCATCTGGTTAGATCTATTCCCCTACTAAAAAAAATGTAAGTTAATTTTAAATCTAAAAAGGTATGGGGTCACTATAAAGTTCCAGACTCTCAGTTAATCTTCTTTTGTTGCTCTATAGAAGGGACAAACTAGGAGACTAGTAGGAAGAGATTATCTGGGTCACTAATATTGTAATGTGGAACGGAAGTGAAACATATTCCTAGTTGTGGATTCTGCTTGTGATCACTTGGGTATCAACTATGTTATATAAATAGAAAGTTTAGACTTAAAATTAAAAAAAATAAAAAAATAAAAAAGAAAGAAGAAGAACAAAAACTAAAACATAATCAAGCCTAGCTAGACAGTACAGTTCTCTAGGTGTATTTTCAATACAAGTCATGAAACCCCTAGCAATTTCATATGGTTCCTTCCATGGGTGGCTGATATCTTGTAGAGTTATGTCATGTGTGTGTATATATATATATTCTCAAGGCTAGAAACACACTCACTCACCTTTGCTCCTATTGAGATTTGAACTCTCCACCTTCTACTTTAGAAGGTGAGGAGATACCACTAGGCTACACAGCCCTTGGTAGTTATGTCATATTAGGTTGCCCATAAATTTATGGGAACTAAACTGATCGGGGACTTTACTTGTTCAGTGGGAATTAAAATCAGCTTAGTGATTATTTTATTACTCTGTTTCTTTCTTCCAGTAGAAAGAAAAGGCATTAATACTAAAGCGAAGAAAACAACCAGCTGTGTTCACCGAGAGTTTACATTCACCAAGAGAGGACGAAAAAAAAACCCTGATGAGTTGACTGGTTTTGCCTGATCAGATATCATGTATGATTTATTGTGTCATATTGCAGGTATCAGGAGATTCTTACAGACCCTAGTTACGCTGGCCAGTTTGTCTTGATGACAAACCCTCATATTGGCAATACCGGTGTTAATTTTGGTGGGTAAATATTTTTCATTCATAGTTTTACAAATTATCTTGGAAACTATGTGGAATCTGAATTAGGATGCCTTGCATGTCAGATGATGAAGAATCAAGACAGTGCTTCCTCGGTGGTTTGGTAATAAGAAGTTTAAGTATCAGGTATGTTGACTTCTATCCATGTGGCTTGACTAACGTGCTTGTTTTCCACTTAAACCTTTTTAGAATTGCGAACATATATATTTAGTTTTCTGACAAATGTTCTTTCAGTACTTCAAATTGGAGAAGCACAAAAACACTTGGTGATTATTTAGCAGAAAGGAACATTATGGGAATATGTAAGTTATATTTTGTATCGTAGACTCTACTTTACTTAAAAGAAATTGTTGGTGTATTTTTTTACTTTGGTTTTTGAACATTTTTTGACCTTCCCTTGGCTTGTTGCTTTTCCATTATGCAACAGATGATGTTGATACACGTGCAATTACCCGAAGATTGAGACAAGATGGAAGCCTTATAGGTGTACTCAGCACAGACAAAGTTAAATCAGATGAGGAACTTGTAGAAATGTCTCGTACTTGGGACATTGTTGGTAAGGATTTATTCCAGCTTTTTAGGGTGTTTGGAACTTTAGTACACTGCAGAGAATAGTCATCCTTGGTTTGCTTGCATTAATGTTACAGGTGTGGACTTAATAAGTGGTGTCTCCTGCAAAGCCCCTTATCATTGGAGTGATAATACAGATCCAGAGTGGGATTTTAATTCCAAGTGGAGAGATGGAGAGACCTTCCATGTTAGTATTTATATAGTAATTTTTATGGAACTACAAGAAATATACTCATAATCTGGGAATTCATCCACCCTTATTTGTGTTTGAATAAAGGTCATTGCATATGATTTCGGTATCAAGCATAATATACTGAGGCGCTTGGCATCCTATGGATGTAAAATCACTGTTGTCCCTTCAACATGGCCATCGTCAGAGACTCTAAAGATGAAACCAGATGGAGTCATATTCAGCAATGGCCCGGGAGATCCATCTGCTGTTCCATATGCAGTTGAAACAGTCAGGGATATAATTGGAAAGGTTCCTGTTTTTGGAATTTGCATGGGGCATCAGTTGCTTGGTCAGGCATTGGGTGGTAAAACCTTTAAAATGAAATTTGGTCACCATGGAGGAAATCATCCAGTCCGTAACCTTAGGAAAAACCGTGTTGAGATAAGTGCTCAGGTGTGTTTGCTTAAGAAACTCTATTGATACCATTGTATGATTTCACATATGCATGCACAACACCTAGATTTTTCCAAGCAGAGACCAATGGCGTTTTGTTTGTGGTAGGTTTGTTGGTTGGGGGGTGGGGTGGCTCCCTACCACCACCATCTCCTCCATGAAATCAGGAAAAAAAAAAAAGAGGTCCAAAAACTCTCCAGTTGTATTTCTTGAATCGAACCCCTGCAATATTTAGAGACTGCTTCAACAATATATTTTTTTCTTTTTAAATTTCCAACAATACCCCCATATTATAACATAGTTAACTGGTAATTACCAAGAAAAATTTGTGTCAAATTAAATCAGAAGAAATTCAAATATGATGCTACAATTTTCTATCAAGTTGTGAATATGTTGCATATTTTAGTTTGGCTTCATTAATAATTGGGTAACAAAGAGTTGTCCACTAATCTGATGCTTCTTTTGAGATTCTCCTTTTTTCTAACTTGCTATTGAGATAGATTTGTAGTAGAATCTTGATTGTACCATTTAGTTGATTTCTTGAAATTCAATGACATGCCCAACTATTCTTGTATTTGTATTCTATCTTCAATTTAAAAATTCACTTTGTGGCAGAATCATAACTATGCTGTTGACCCTGCATCACTTCCCGAGGGTGTGGAAGTGACTCATGTCAATCTCAATGATGGAAGCTGTGCTGGTCTTGCGTTTCCTCAACTAAAACTCGTGTCTCTTCAGTACCACCCTGAAGCATCTCCAGGACCTCATGATTCAGATTCTGGTAATGGAACTCTTTTTACATGCACGTGTATACATATGCGCCATCAAGTGTCTGTCTCGTATTATTGAGATGATGCACTCACTGATTAGAGTATTCTTAAGTCTTATAATGAAATCAAATGCGAAAAATGGAAATAACTTAAAAGCTATGTTTGGGAGCATTGAATCTGTGCATTGGAATGGAAATAATGTAGATCTCATGATTTTCTATGATCGAACAGCTAAAAAGGCAAGCTCATGGCTGGAGAACCCCTTGTAGCTTTTCTAGGTGCCAAAGATGATGGCTTTCAGTGTTTGTTAAACACTCTTAACTATTAATAACTCAACAATTTCTAGTACTATTATATGACATGTAGCTGTTATACAAAGTTGATGTAATTCTTAGGAGATTAACGATTTTTTTTATTCTAAAAAAGCCCACCAAAACCACTTTGGTTTGATGATGGATAAATTTTACTTCTGCTACCTCCTAAATTATAATTGTTTTACGCTTTTACTTATATAAATAATTATAATTATAATTATAATTTTTTGAAAAATCTTATTTTATTTTTACTTATTACTTGTAGAATTCAAATACATGTATTAATATATAATGAATATGCAGACTTGTGTAACTTTATAGCTCCATCATATGCATACATGCACTTATCTATGTGAAAGGTTTGTGTGTGTGTGTATATATATATATATATATATATATATATTTCTCTCTTGGCCCTTCATGCGTGAAGGAACTCGCATATTTGTACGGAAACTTCTAACTAACATGAGTCAAACAAGAGAAATTTGATCCTATTTTGATTCTCAAATTGTGTTTTATGATTGTTCATTACTAGGTCACTGGAACTTTTTAAAATTTTCATTCTCCTTAGTGCTAAGTCAAGGTATTTATTATGCAGCTTTTGGGGAATTTATATGGCTTATGAAGCAAGAAAAACAAAATGCATGAGAAAAATCTGCACCAACATACATGGTTTGATGGGGGCTCAGTGGAAATAGTTGCAATGTTGGTAGTAGGAATGTGACGATGATGAAGAAGGTGATGAGGGAAACTTGTACTGAAATTCAAAGCAACTGCAACACATAATGAGGTCAGTGGTGGAAGTTGCTTTTTGTTGTCAACATTGGCTAAAGCATGCCAAGAAATTTTGTAAAAGAGTAATAATCCGTCAAGTTTGTTAGTTTCTATGAAATAGGTTCAATATATATATATATATATATGTTGGTCTAATTTGCTACATTAACCAGTCCTTGAAGGTATGTATTACGATTGGACAATATAGTTTCTCCTAAGAACAGTCTTGATGGTTAAAGAGCATTCCTTCATGTGTTCACATTTGTTGAACTTTGAACTGATCCCTTTGTCAAGCAAGAGAAAATCTAATCAATGAACATATTTCCACAATTTGGAGTTATTAACATGAATTCATTTTTTTCATTTAACTTTATTAAAGGCAAGAAGGAAAAAATTATTCACACAGGAAAAGCTATTATTTGCGGTGATTAACTTTAAAACATAAGTGTCCTGTTGGCTGAGTGGTTGGGTTGTTTTCTCAATCTGTATTCGAGCCTTGCACCTTTCCCACGTCAAAATAAAATAAAATAAAATTGACCTCACTCTGTGAACCAAATCGGTCTCTACCGTCCTCTTATTTCTAGAACCAGAATAAACAACCGAACTGTGCTGTTAGCACAACGAAAGTGACGCACCACCATTTTCACCCATTTCGAATCTAACACTGAATTTCCCGATTGCTTCAAAGGGAGGCAAATATAAGTCGCCGGTCATTATTTGATCAAGTTTTTACTTCTCCAGCAATCTTTCTAACTGCTCACATATTGTTACTGGAACCAACCATTTTTAATTTCAAAATGTGAGTGACATTTCTTTAATAACAAAAGGTAACTTATTCACACTAATCACCTTTTTTCTTGCTCTAAACACATCCCAAACCCATTCCAAAGCTACTCGGACAAATCGCAACCCAAACTCAACATGTTTTTTTATTATTATTATTATTTACTTTTTCTTAGAGATCCCGTATTGGAGATGGGGTGAAACTCACCTCCAGTGAAATAGTGTGCCATTTATTTCATTTTGAAATGAGTGGTTCAGAAATGGTCACGTTACTCATATTTGGAATGCATAATAAGAAAATATTGGGATGCATCTTACGAAAATGTTGTGATGTACTTTTACTTACAAAAATAGAGAAAATGAATTACTGTGCAACTGAAGGTGATTGTTGTCCATTAGAGGTGCAAAATTTTACTTTTATATAATTATATATATATATATATATATTTTTGGGAAAGGTAAAATAATTGATGATCGACAAAAGTGATAAGAACGGTCCAACTGTTGGATGACCTTTTTGCTACAAATTAGAATGAATTGATTCCTTCCTAAGTTTTAGTAATAATAGTCCACTGAGCAAGTTAGATCACCTTTTGCGACAAATTAGATCAATAGATTCCTTCCAAAGTTTGGCCTCCCAAGTCAAACCGTTTGGCAACAACCAAATTACTACATCTTGACCGTGTTTCTTGTTGGGAGTAAATTAATAAAGATACAATTTTTTTTAAAAAAAAATAAAGAAATAAAGAAAAACCGATCAATCAATGTTCCCAATTTCTTTTAATATATTAAAGAGGCAAGGTGGGGGACTAAGCAAAGCCATTAAAGCATGTTTGGTTACTAAAATAAGATGGGGATGATGGGGCATGTGCCCCACATCAATACAACCATTACTTTCCCACCTTTATACTATAATAATATTTATTATCAAATGAAATGACACCATTCCACGTTCAATCTCTACTTCACATTGCTAATAAATATCGTTTCACACTGCACAACAAGAGACCACTCCAATTCTTTGGCTTGCATCAACAAGTACAGTTTTATGACATTCCTACACTGCCTCCTCCTAATTGTCTATAGTTTTATACAGGTGCACAATTGGCTGAATTTCCAAACAAGCTGATGAAATTGACACAGCATTCAGTGTGAAGCTAGGCAGACGTAGGACATGATCATAAACACCAAACATGATACAACACAAATCTAAAAAATATAGTATGAATACATCATAAAATAGTAAATATTATTATTATACATCACAAATTATTATTTTTGTTTTCTTAAAATTTATATCATTATTTTAATTAACTCTTAATATATGTTAAATTATATTGAATCTCTTTCTTATAAAAAAAAAATATAATTACAAAATTACCTCATCATGTCTACAAGGAGTTCAAAATGTGTTCTTGTCGTGTCCAATTGAAAAATAAAAATATTCAAATTTCATTACACTTCTAATCGAGTCCAACATGTGCACATGTTCAACACTACCATAATATCCTAGAAAAAGTGTTCGTAGATCATTTCTTCGTACTTCTTAGATACATTTCTTAAGTCCAGGATTTTTTTCGTATGTTAACCAATAATGAGAATAAATCAGGATATCAAAAACTTCATCGATGTAAATGTAAATAAAAAAATGAGGGGTCAAAATTGTAGGCACTAATTATCTACTTTTAGAGTGAAACGTGAAAGGTTGGTTAAGATAATAAAAAATAAAAAGGTTTGGGTTACTTTTTTTTTTTTTTGAGTGAGTTACTTATCATGTAAAAAAAATATCTACTGGACAATACAAAAATGAGAATGTTTTTTCTTCCACGTGGTACGCCTTGATGTTTGTTGGGCGCCTGCAACCGGCGCAAATTGAAATGGGTATGAAAGGTTTTTAATATTAAAATTCAAACATATATGGCTCTCCAATCAGTTTATACACATTTTAAACCATAAATCTAATAATAATAAAAAAAAAAAAACCATAAATCTAAATTATTCTCTAAATTAATGCTTTAACCCTTCAAATGATTGAATATATAAATCCATTCATTTCAATCTAAATGGAGGAAGACCTAATGAGTTGGGTTAGGAAAGGGTTCTCATGTACTTTAAACTTGAACACTCATTCCGAAGTTCCGAACATGGACCAACACTTGCATCCACTTCATTACATCTAAATATCGAATCATACCTCAATCATGGGTAAACATTCCAAATCAGAACCCCAAGTTGCTAGGAACGTCTCATTCAAGTGGCAACACGTCAGGAATTCTTCAAAACGTTTTTGACCACCAATTAGACGAGTTCAAAGTTCAAACTCTTAAAAATTGGACATCCAAAAAAAGGATTAATTTAATGCCCACAATGCATTAATTTAAACTTCTGGCTAATAGGTCAAGTTCACTATATTAGTTTTTAGATCCCTCACATCAGAGCCAGATAAACGTGAAACCTAGAAGGACTGGTTCAACCCTTCGACCTTGACGGATTCATACACGTAATGTTTCAAAATTTGTAAAATGGTTACTTAGACTAGCTTCTAATTAGGACTTCATTAGATTAATCACTACGTCAGTCACACTCTACCTTGAGCATTCAAATTAACATCCAAGCTGAAATGACGAGATATGTAAGTTTACCAGAAGAACACGAGGTATTTAAATGGCTCCACAAGAAGCAAACAAGTTCAACTTAGAAACTGCAGTGACTAGGAATATTGAAACGATCATACAAGGACTAGTTCACAATCTTATGGTTGAGGTTGAGAAATGCACAGAATATCGGAGAATGAGATAACAAACAAGGACTGAGAATGGGCACATTTATACCTAACCACGGCTCCTAAAAGATTCAATCAAACTAGAAGAAATTCATTATTTGAAAACCAACCAAATCAAAAGGGTCAATTAGCAAGATTTGCCATCATATATCATCTTCAGTTGAACATAATCTGAGGGGCATATACTTTCTTTAATTAGGCGCACCAGATAATTTGGCTTTATTTCAGCTACATCCTTCATGAAAATGTTGACAAGAAAAGGGCATTACAACCTTCAGATACCGATCAAAACAAAGATAAGACACTAGAAATTGAACTAAGATAACCACATAAATTTGGATAAATGGAACAAATTAAAACCTCAATAAATGAATATTTGGATCCACACAAGGTACTTGGTAGCTTTCAACCCCAGTATCAAATATAGTTTACCATAAAGAGTTTATGACCACAAACTGACTCTAACATAAAATTTCTCATACAATAAATATCGACATAATTGTTCCCAGGAAAAAAAGAACCTTCAAATATCAAAATAACCAAAAAAATAAAATGAAAAGCATCGCAATCACTCTCCAGCTACAAACATCCATCCTACTAAAAAGAGCAAAGGTTGAACCACAGTTAATGCCAGGCAAGGAGAGCAGCTGCATTTCAGCATCCAGGGCACAGAAATATGAATGTGAACTACCTCAGATGAATACCTATGATATATCACGATCATATCATGCCCTCCCTTCATAACCCAGCCTCAACACTTCAACCAGACCGAGTTCAAATGACATATAACACAAAAAGCCAACTAAAGGGGAAAAGCGAGAACTCACCCATCAAAGCAAATAATAGAACTTAGAAGCACTTCCTGTGGACAATGGATGGACCCGACTCGTCATATTCTCCCTTGGAAATCCACATCTGATTCAACAAGAAGCAAGCATTTCAACACAAGCACATAAAAGCATTCCTTCAAAGTGTACAAAATATGTATATATATAGTTTTTAATACAAGGAGCAAACAGATAAAAGAAATTACTTGTTGGAAGGTGCTGAGGGATGCAAGGATTGATCCTCCAATCCAGACACTGTACTTTCTCTCGGGCGGTGCCACCACCTTGATCTTCATGCTGCTGGGAGCAAGAGCAGTAATTTCCTTGCTCATGCGGTCTGCAATACCTGGGAACATGGTTGAACCACCACTGAGCACAATGTTGCCATAAAGATCCTTCCTGATATCAACATCACACTTCATTATGGAGTTGTAGGTTGTCTCGTGGATTCCTGCTGCTTCCATTCCAATTAAAGATGGCTGGAATAGGACTTCCGGGCAACGGAATCTCTCAGCTCCAATAGTGATGACTTGCCCATCAGGAAGCTCATAGTTCTTTTCAACTGAGGAGCTGCTCTTTGCAGTCTCTAGCTCCTGCTCATAGTCAAGGGCAACGTATGCAAGCTTTTCCTTCATGTCACGGACAATTTCCCGTTCTGCTGTAGTGGTGAACATGTAACCTCTCTCTGTGAGGATCTTCATGAGGGCATCTGTTAGATCACGGCCAGCAAGATCCAGCCGGAGAATGGCATGGGGGAGGGCATAGCCTTCATAGATGGGCACGGTATGACTCACACCGTCCCCAGAATCCAGCACAATACCTGTTGCAAGAAAATATACAAGTGTCAGAATGATGTAAACAAGATGAGAGAAGATGGAATCAGAGATTAATATGATAATTGATACCAACCAGTTGTTCGCCCACTGGCATATAGAGATAGCACTGCTTGGATAGCGACATACATGGCAGGCACATTGAAGGTCTCAAACATTATCTGAGTCATCTTTTCTCTGTTGGCCTTGGGATTGAGGGGTGCCTCAGTGAGAAGCACAGGGTGCTCTTCAGGGGCAACACGAAGCTCATTGTAAAAAGTGTGATGCCAGATCTTTTCCATGTCATCCCAGTTGCTGACTATTCCATGTTCAATAGGATATTTCAAGGTAAGGATACCTCTTTTTGACTGAGCTTCATCACCCACATAGGCATCCTTCTGACCCATCCCAACCATAACACCAGTGTGTCGGGGTCGACCAACAATACTGGGGAAAACTGCCCTGGGAGCATCATCACCTGCAAACCCAGCCTGCATGCAACACATTGGATAAAAGGTACAGAAGTTTAGAATCCTGTGGAGCTAACAAAGAATAACAACTGAGTCCACTTATAACACCATGTCTATTGACTAACCTTCACCATTCCAGTTCCATTGTCACAAACAAGGGGTTGAATATCCTCAGCATCAGCCATTGTTTATAAAGCTGCATTAAAAACACAAATTAAGAAAAACATTAAGTAAAACCAAAAACTCTATTCATCCATAACCTTATAATACTAAAAATTGAAATGTGACAACTCACTCATCTTGACATCCGTAAAACCAGCTGAGGAATAACTTTATGGATCAAATGAGAAGCAAATTTTAATTGAATTACATGTATTATTAGGTTACTGAAGTAATTATTATTTAATCTAAAGAAATAATATGTTTCCTCGATATGAAACTCAGTTCCATCCCAGCAAAAAAAACAATTGAACGTTTCTCTAATATATAACTTTTAGCTAATTTTCTTTCCATATTCACAATATCAAAGTTTCACAACCTTTGCTTGTATTTCACATATCAAATACGGCTACTCTAAGCCTTCAGAATCAATGTATTAGAAATAGCCTTACTAAACAATGGAGACAATATATAACACAGACCCAAAAAAAATCCATATACTTTTCGTCTTCAGTAAATCAATTGAAATTATATATAAAAACAAATAAAAATAAAACAGATCACTAAATCTCATATGCAAATGGAGCCTACTAACAAAATATTTCTAGAGATCTAGGAGCATTGAACAGCGCTGGATATAAATAAAATTCAATCATCCACCAAAATAATTTCAAAAATTAGATCAGGGAACCAGATCAGACAATCAAATTAACCGACCAGCAACTGTTAAAACAGAGTTATAAGTTACAACTTTGACTGTAAACAGTAGATCAGAAACCTATGAACCATTGCAAAACTAAATCATCATAAAGACACAAACTGATGCTAGCAAGATCGATCTACTCTATCTAAAGGCAAATCACAAAAATCGAAGGCTTACAAGATCCTTTTTTTCAGATCTGTCAGCACATATCAGCAGATTCACATCCAAAATTCAAATAAAATCACAGAACAGTAGAATTGAATCTAACAAAACGAAGATCAAAGAGCTTACCTTTTGATTGCAGAGAGGAAGGGGCGAGAAGATTGGAAGTAGATCGAAGATCGAGCAAGCCAACCTCCGATGGCTGCCTCACTTTTTCTCTCTCTATTCGCCTTTCTTAGTGTAAAAGCCAAAGCAAAATGAGAGAACAAAAGAGAGCATATGGAGATATATATAGAAGGGTTGTGTAAGTGAGATTTGAAATGCAAATGAAATGACGACTAAATTGAGGATTTCAGAGAGACAGAGAGAGGAATCATTTCGACCACGAGAAAAGATAGGATGACCTGGCATTGACAGCCTTTCGGCATGTTCGACGTGCGATCTTTCCCACCTGTTGGATTCGATTTCCGCCGTCGGATCTGTGTCTTTCGGTTCAAGTGACTTTGAGGTTTTGCCACGTCATCTATGGACGGCTTGATCGCGACATGCGGGCCGCTTGCGCCGGGTCTCGCAAGAATGTCTTATCAGGTCAACAACACATAGAAGTCGCCGGCCAAGCCGGGCGAAAGAGCTATGGTCGGCTTGGCTTGGCTTTTTGGTTACAGATCTGTCCCTCGTAATGTTTGTAAATGACAAACTTCTCCTTATAATTTAGAATGTGTGGTCATTCCCTTTAGATTTACACGATGTTGTTTATTTGTTCATTTGCAAGTAAATAATTTTTAGGAAAAATTACGCAGACTTTCCTTGAGGTTTCATCTATATATATTGACTTCCCTTCTTATTTATTAAACTACACCAACCTCCCATATTAGAGCTGTTAAAGTAAAATTATATATATGTCCTCATTATATTTATTGTATTTTATTTACAAAATGATGAATGTACATCGAAAAGACAAAACTATCCATACGTCAAAGAGAATCAATTTGGAAAGATATATATATATATATCCTTAAATATATTTGTTTGATGAGAAACAATTTGAGAGGAGAAAGAGAGAGAGAGGATATATTTCTTTGATTTGGTGTATATATATTTGGGTTTGATTGGTGACAACAAGGAGGTTATAGGAAGGCAATCCAAATAGGGTAAGACAGAGAGCAAATGAGTATGGCAGAAATCCAGATTTGGTGCTGAAACTCAAACGTACCAAATAATCAATTGGATTATTTATAATTGGAGGTCTGGTTTTAGTAGATCCTCTCCACTTTCCATTTATAATTAATCCAATTACATTTGGTTACAAACAAAGTCCAAAACCAATACACTTAGAAATTTTTTTTTCCCATGGCGTTGATATTAGATGATTCTTATACTCCACTCTACATTATAAGGAGTACATGAAGAATGAAGTACCTCAATGGTGAGTTTAAAAGAGGAAAAAAAAAAAAAAAAAAAAAAAAAAAAAAAAAAAAAAAAAAGAAAGAAAAAAAAGCCAATTGCTTATTATGTAGAGTGGAGTACAAGAATCATCCAATGAAAATTACTTAGCGAAGAGAGGTTTTTTTGTTTGAAAGGTTGAGTGGAGAGAGCTTATACCAGTGGCTCCAATGGATTATAGTAAATTGCAAAGTCCAAAAGGCTCCAATGTAATAGCAACCATGAAGGCTTTTAAAGTAATTTTACTTCAGTAAGTAAGGTCAAATTTGTCTTCATAATAATAAAAAGTACTTTAGTAACTTTAAACTTACATCAGCAATTACTAACATTGACTGGACGTTGTCCTTTAACGGCAGTTAATGGAGGGGTACTCTCTGTTATGAAGATTTAAACTTAAAGGAAGGTCAGTTTAATTTGTCAAACAAGAGGGGAGGTCAGTGTAACTTGACTGAACCTCAAGGAAAATCAGTGTAATTTATCCTAATTTTTATATTTGTTTATTTGCAAGTAAATAATTTTTAAATTTCCTTTTCTAGGTTTGTTAGCTATTGTTTCTCTAGCTTTCAAGCAAAAGATTCAAGTTAAAAAAAAAAAAAACAAATTAAGTGGATGACTAGCTTATACTCGACCTTAAAATAAATTCAAAATTAAATAACAAAAATTAGTAATTCTTTCAAAATCAAGTAGGTTCACTCCGTCTCATGGATGAACAACGTATCATACAGTTTAGCTATTGTTTCTTTTCTTTTCATATCATCAATCACAGAAAGTCAGTGTATGCCTAAGAACAAGTACCCGGTGGCCCTGCCTAGGATGAAATATAGTAATTTTTTAAATTATATATATATATATATATATATATATATATATATATATAATTTTCTATATAATGACTCCTATAATTTTTAATTTCTAAAATTATTTTCTAAATTTTTCTTTCTTTTTTCTTTTGCTCTTAATATTACTTTGATTTCTTTACAAAAAAAATTAAATTTTCCTTCTTTATTCAAACTCTAATTTTTTTTTTTTTTTTTTTTTCTCCTTCCCCTAAACAAATAGGAAACTAAAAACTCTCCAAAATTGGATGGAGAGAGCATAAGAAAATATAGTAATGATAGGCAACGCGAAAGAGAAAACACAAATACTCCCGAATCTGATTTGGCTAAGCCATATCATCGACCCTACTTTTTCTCTAAAAGACAAATACATTTGTAGAACTTTAACAGGATGAATAAATTATAGATAATATTATATTTGTATAGTTTTATGAATTTTTACTTTATAAATTTAAATTTATGGAATACGGAAACAAGTAATTTTTGGTCTGTGATTATATTTTATGCTAAGGAACACGGAAGCAAGTAATTTTTGGTTTGTGATTATATTTTTATACTCTTTCAGTCCAATTTTGGAGAGTTTTAATTTTCTGTTTGTTTGTGAGGGAAAGGAAAAAACACCATTTATATATACCTTATTCCTTTTTTCTTTCATTTTTTTCTTATCATCTATACCATGTAAAATATGATTCTTTCTTAAACTAGATTAGGGAAGTTCCGCGCCCTCATCAATCATAAATGAAAGGAGTTACTAATTAATAACTTGAATGCGATGTTTGTTGACGTGGCAACCATATTCACTAAATAAATTTTTTATGATAAAATAGGTATATATATATATATATATATATATATATTGATCCGGTAAATTAGTGGAGTTAGGAGGAGAGAATTCGAACCTAAAATTATAGGGTAGGCTACTTAAGGTATGTTCCTTTGTTATTCAGATAACACCGCCACACATATTTGAAAGAGAGAGAAAATGTAGGACTTCTAAAGCCAACTGCACCAGCGTCTCCAAATTTTGACTAAGCTCTCTAAATTTTCACTCTCAAAAAAAAAAAAAAAAAATTTAATTAAAATTAATTAAAATTTTCCTAAACGGTTATATTTTTCATTTTATATAATGAATACTTATTTGCTCATTTGAAAGTCATCGCTACATTCATCTCTCTCCATTGATAAAAAATTTGAGGAACCGTTATGGTGACGAAAATGTTTAATTTATGTTGCATTTTGTTTGCTTTTAAGATATTATGACATTTCGTGTACTAGAATTTTTATTATGTAATGATTTTTTAAGATTAAAAATAATGAATTGGAATAAGAAAATAAGCATTACAAAATCATATGGGAATAAGTAGATAAACTTGTAATTTTAATTATTTTTTTTACAAAAAATTTTTTTTAAAAAAATTTATATATATTTTTAAAAAAATTGTAACTGTTAAGGCATTATTTGTGTCAGTCAAACAGTGCTATAACGGCCAAATGCATTGTTTGTGGTACACATTTAAAAAAAAAATTAAGGAAAAAAAAAAAAAAAGCTTTTTAAATTTATTTTTGGCCCAAATAAAATTTATTTTTGACAAACAGTGTCTAAAAAATATATTTTTTATTTTATGAATTTTATTTTATTTTTTATTATAAGAAAAGAGCTCAAAATAATCTATTTTTAGGGTTTTTTTTTATTAAAAAAAATCTGCCAAACATTGCTTTAAGGCACTGTTCCAGGAGCCATAGAATAAAACAACTATGGAGAGAGAAAGTATGGGGAGCTACTGTCAATGACTAGAGGAGGATGGAAGATGTGAAAGATGCTGAATGGCCAACAGAATGGAAACCCCAAAGATGCCAGCACACACAATAAAGTGTGGTTGGTACTGCAATAAAAATGCCATCTAAAATTGGAGTGAAATTTAAAAAATTGTCGATTTATAATTAGCACTTATAGTACATAGTTTCGAAGTTTTTAAAAGAACGCCCAACTCTTTTCCCCTTATCCCCCATTATATAACTTCACTTGGCGTCCATGTTTTAACTTCGAGTTGAATTACAGGTAAAGAATGTCGGTGATGCCCACTTTTCGTTCATTATGTAGAAACAAGAAGCGAAAGAAAAAAAAATATCAAAAAAATATATTCACTATTTATCAAAAAACGATTACTTTTAACATCTGCTCCCTCAGTTGAACCTCAATCCAACAAAAAAACAAAAACCACCACCTAAAAAGGAGAAATTATAACAAATATATTTTTTGATTTTATTGTAAATTCACTTTATTTGGTAGAGTGTTTATAACCGTTCCGTTGCAACGGTTGTAACCAATAATTTCTTCTAAAAAAGGACCCATCAACATTTTTTATAATGCTACCACTAATAAGGGCTTAATTCAAATGGCATTTTCTTCTCCATTAAATGGTTGCTTCAAAGTTTAAATCCCTATCAATAAAATATATATATATAGATAATCAAAGTAATGATTTCTTACCTACTTTGCTCACTGATAATAATTATGATTTAATTATTTTATATGATTTAAGTGTAAAAATGTAATTACTAAATAAATAATAACAACAATAACCCTATTTTGTGTGAATAAATTTATTGGCCAGGGTGAGAAAGAGATCGTTTCTGTATATAAAGATTGGGCTCGCTAAAGATTGGGCTCCATTTGGTTACTGGTGGTGCATGGGCGAATCATGATCTGTCCAATCACTAGGCTAGAACTATAAGAAAGATTTGGATTTGCAAAGTTGGGCACATAAAGGAACGGATTTCGATACTTCTAGAACCTGGGGATTTGATTGAGATGGGTCTAATCTGCTAACCCAAATTGGAGAAATCCAATCCAATAGTATAAGAATAACTAAAATCAACCTAACATCCTAGTGTAACCGATGTGAGAGAGGTTCCACTTATAACACCTGATACAAGTTTAGATCCGATAGAGAAAAAAATTATAAAACAAAAATCTAATTAGTGGTTGATAATTTAAG